TAATAAAATATTATCCAATTAAATTTATGATATGAATTAATCAATAAAATAAGAACTAAATATTCATATCATAACAGGTCTCTCATAGTTAAGAATTTTACTCTGTAAAATAAAAATATAAGATAATAAAATAAGTATAAAAATATAAAATAATAAAATAAGTATAAAAAATATAAGAATTTAAAAATATAAGAATATAAATTGAATATATGTTGGATCTTAGTTCTGCATGCTTATCGTAAGACATTGGAAAACTTTGCTACTCAGCTATATAGTCTTAGTCAATCATGACAATCATCATTGATTTAAAGAATAATAAATTTGAAAGTAAATAATAAGAATAAGGTCTTATCTTACGTATAGGTATTATAGCATAGGTTCTCTGATAAGGCTGTAACAACATGTGGATTATTCTACAAGTTACCAATACACATAACATTCCGATCTCTTCTGTTAAGATGAAATTGAGAATAAGAAAGTTTAAACTGTGTATATGATGGAGAACATCCATTACAAAATTCAAGCGATGTCAAACCAACACCTCAACAAATTAAGTCGGAGAATTAGCTATAACAACAGTTTCTATTTACTCAAAATTTTCGCATATACAAGAAGGATAATAATAAGAGAAGGGTAATTGTTCAAAATTTAATAAAAATAAAATAAATTAAGAACTTAGAAAATGAATTAAGTGTTCTTTTATAAGAAAATATAATAGAAAATTAGATTGATAATTATCTAATTAATTAATAATTGAGATCTTCTCATCATCTATTCTAAATATAAATAGATAAACAAAAGGATAAGAGGTTATAAGAGTGAACAAAGGGAATGATAAACTTCAAAAATTTTACTATATTTAGTAAGAAATAGCTGGGAACTCAAATAAACAAAAAAATATAAACATATATTAATCAACTAACTATACATAAATCATGGCAAATCTTTATGTCAAACATAACAATCATATATCATAAACTAAAAAAAAATTGGGCTTATTGATATGACCAACAAAAACTAAACTAAAAATAAACAAATAAACTAAATTTTCCAGAAATAAAATATGAATATAACTTTAATTCCAAATTTATAATATAAATTATTAATAATAGTATTGTTATCCTGTTAATGGTTGATACCAATCGAGTTTTTGCATCCATTAAATAGTTCACATTAACAACAGATTATTTTATTCATTAAAAATTTTGTTGATAATTCACTTTATTCCCTTGCAAAATGAATTTTTCACTGAAAAATTATAATAAAGTCCTTTTTAATTTCGTGTACAAATTTTGACATGATCTTTATAATTTCCATCTGAGATACCCTAGCCATGGTGAAAAAAATTTCTCGGGTCACGTGTTATAGAATATTTCTATTGGACGCCACACCAAAGATCTTAACGTGACCTGGTTGACCAATCAGATTCGCAATTTATGCGATGATAAAAAATAACTAAGTTCTAATAATTATAGGATATTTCGACCAAGAGCATTTTGAATTCTATGAGCTCATAGAATTCTAAAGTGTTATTGAACATGAACTAAAAAGCGAAATTTAAATTAAATGTACTTTAATGCAATTTCAACACATAAAATAAAATAAAATTGCACATAAAATTTCGTCCTGGCACAGATCACATGTTCATACTCATTTAACACGCGTCCACATTCAAAAATTTGTTTAACGCGTCCTCATTCCAAAATACATTGATCGCAAAACAATACTCTATTAGCATCATATATACTCTTTTTCTCTATATTCTAACAATTTAAAAATTAAAGACGTTGGTAAAAGCACAAAAAATGAGCAAAAATATTGCATTTCAAGGTAAATAATACTTGAACAGATGGCTTCGAATTACATGAAGTAACAAAATGCGCATTCTTGAAATCAATGTAGATTCATATGCATAAAATCGTTTAAACATCGCATAATTCATTATAAATATGCATTCGATAATTTTGAGCGCATGAATTATGAAACATTCAAGTGATCAAATTTATCGCACATGAATCAAATCTATCACTCGAGTATTTTATGATTCGTGCGCTTGTTGATTCGACTATAAATTTATTTATAATTGTTAAAACTATATAACGATAAAGTAATGAATAACATATTTAAAAATGATAAATAACGTACCATAATCTCCACAGTTTAAAGCTAAACTATCATTACTGTATATTTTGATTTATGTACACGATCTATTTTTTTATATGATTGCTGCAATAAAAATCCTGAATCATGATAAATCGCATATTTAACGTGATTTCAAATCATTAATAACCGATTACAGATAAAAATATATTTTTAACAGAAACTCAAGAACTTGCCGAAAAGATGTACAATGGCTGCCATACTACAAAAAAGGTGACCGATTTTTGTCGCTCCTCCAGCAAAAATTCACAGCGTGAGAATGTCACATGCAATCAATGTGCCATAAGGTGAAAGAACAAACGGCAAGGAAGTATAATCATCACATCAAAAAAAAAGCAAAACAAGAGACAAACTGGAACAGCAATATCACCTTTGATAATTTCGACAGAACTATCTCAACTGATTGTAACACCATGACTTGTAATGATTCCAATGGCATTACCTTTAACCATTTGACAGCACCATCTCCCAACGATTCTGACACAATTATACCTAACGATTCCAACAGCATCACCTATAATGAAAGCGAACATAACAACCAGGATGATGATAATTCCGAGGTATTATTAAAGTATGATTTGGATGAAGTGCATGAAATTATCGCCAAGAAGTTTGAAGAAGCCGAAACATCCAA